ACAATGTAAACAGAAACAAAAGTCTACCACAGAAATAATCTTTGCTTTAACTGTCATAACCAAGGCAGTCTTTAGCATGACAATTGCATGTTCTATGCACACATTTTGTTTAGCCTGACAGAACATGTGCTTAGCTTTCCTTTCCTATGTGGCAGGCCATTCTTGTCACTGCTCTTCCTGTTTTATCCAGAGCTTTCTACTGTATTTTACATGTGCTTAGCAGGAAAATAAATCAAATAAAATATCAACTGTGTTATGAGTGCTTAGAATAGACATCACCATTTTCGCATCACCTGTTTACTTGCTTACAAAACCTAAAAGATAACATCAGAAATGAAAACCTATGTGAACTATAGTGTAAACACAAACAAAAAGTCTACCCCAGAAATAATCTTTGCTTCAGCTGTCACACCAGTTAGTCTTCACACATGACAATTACATGTTCCATATACAAGTATCACTTACACTGATAGCACATATGTTTTGTTTTCCTGCCCTTTCTTGTTTTTCCTGCTGTTGTAGTAGTTCTTTGTGATGCTGCACCTGCCTATTCACTTGTCACCTCACCACACCAGTGTGCTCCACAATATTTTTGCATAGTTCAGAAGTTCAGAAGGCAGAAACATTTTGTTTTCCCTCTGCTATAAATGATCTCTTATTAATTCCAGTCCCAATCCTCTAAGAAAAATTGTCTGTGATAGTTTGCACTTGTTATTTTCTTTATAAACAGTCAAACTGTTTATGCCGTACATGTTTAGGATTGAGTAAAACACAACCATTGGCCAGTGTTTTGTGTTTTGAGCGACATCATAGTTGCTGCATAACTCATCAATAACATCTACTCTGCCTTTGGTTTTGTTATAGAAAGTTTCCATCTCAGGCTTCTATTTTGTCAAGGTTTTCCTATCAATATTTCCATTGTGGTGCAGTGTTGACATCAACAGTACCATTTTGTTTTTCTTTGCCATATATGAGGCCAGTGTAAATCTTTCTGACCTCCTAAGATTGTACTAATAATTCTTTGCATCTACAAGGTCATAAAATTTTATGCCATATTTTAAGCCATTCCTTTTCCATAAGTCTTTTACATTTCTGTAGTTACCATGAGAAATCCCTGCTAAGAACAGCAGACCTATGAATGCTTTCTATTCAGCTGGTGAGGTATCATAATAAATACATTTTAAAATATGACTTGTACATATAGAACATTTTACTTGCATTTCAGCCTTTGTGTATTTCACAACATCTTATGGCATTTTTGTCTGTTATAGTTTCTAACATTGAATGGCAATGTTTTTCACACCTGCCAAGACCCTCAGTATATTTTCAGACATAGTTCTAACATTGGATCATTCCATTTGGTTGTGTGGCAACATTTCGACTAGTCAAATATCTACTCACATTGCTGTTTTCTTCATCATCTGAATCAAGGAGATCTGCATCCCCTGTGTCTGTATCAGTTAATTCTTCCTCCATTTTACTGTCATAGGAAATTTGGCTCCCATGGCCAATGTCAAAGTCGTTGTTGTCATCATTATCATCGTCATCCACCCACACCACTCTTAGGTTACAAAAACATATATTTTACCATAAAGGATCGTGTTCATCATCCATGAATGACTAACTTTACTTTTGATCTCCAAAACTTGCAGATCTTGTTTTTCATGTGCAACTGTACTAAATTGGCTACTTCTACCAAAAAAAATCAAAAGAATACTTTTTTTTAAAAACAAATCCTAGAGTGGTGTGGGTCTATTAGACCCTCTTTGTGGCCCAGATAAAAATGCGCAGAACCATTTAGAGCATAGCATGGGGGAAAAAATCTCATTTTGCCAGTTTTACACACATGCATGCATCTTGCTGTTTATCACACCAAGTGAGTAAACACAGGTTGCCTCCTGTATTCCTCAGGGAAAAGTACTGGGATGCATAGCTGGCTACTGTTATGCTAACGTACAAATTTACAGTAAAAAAGTAAGGGATGGGTCCGCTGGACCTAGTGTCATGCTCGGTGGGTTAAGCCGTTTTGATGTGTTGTTTTTGCACACCTGAAACTCTGAGAAATATTGAATGTGAAATGGAATGTGTATTTCATAAACCTAGTGAGTGAAGAAAACATGCAGCAACACTTGAGGAAGACTCTTAGAAGTGTGTGACACTGAATGCTGAGCTTGATCACCAACCAGCTTATACTGAAGAGGCACAACCTGCTAGCTGGGTGTGGTGGTGCACACCTGTAATCCCAATTGGGAGCATTTGGGAGGCTGAGACAGAAAGATAGCTGCAGGTTAGAGGCTTGGGCTACATAGTGAGTTCAAGCCCAATCTGAACTACATGGGGAGATCTTGCCTTAAAAAACAAACAAACAAACAAGTATGAGCATCTCATTCAGTAACCCTTCACCATACCCTTCACGGGGCACATAGGAACTGAGGTGCCCTGTGTTAGGAGCTTGATTAGAGCCTCCTTGGCAACACAGCTTTGACTTTACCACTAGCCACAAAAGGAACTATCCTCACCCTGCAATAGGAAGAGTGCATTCATGCCTGGGACCAGCCAAGGCTGTGGTGTTTGTGGGGAAGGAGGGCTGTGTGGCCCCATGTGTAGGCCCACTCTGCACTAGGGACCCAAGGGCTTGATACTCCAGGGATGGAGGTCTGGGCAGGCACAAGACCTGGCTGGAATCTACTTAGTTGTTTGGATTTTTCAAACCTCATTTTCTTTAAGTACAAAATGGTCTTAAGACTACACTATTTGGGTTGCCGTAACATCAGAACCAACAGTCACTCTCTCTGATTGAGCACATAAGTTTACAGAGGTACCCTGTCAAAATGATTGCAGAGTTCGCCATTTTATTCTCAACATAATAGGTGAACGAGGCTTATTCTCTCCACATTGAAGAGGAGGAAGCTGAAGTAGATACTGGCCCTGGCCACACAGTGATTGGCTGGTGTCAAGTGTCGATTCCAGCTTTGTCGGACATCAGGCCCTGTGAGAGAGCATGTAAAGTCTGAGTGGTGGCTGTGGTATAGATGGTGCTCAGAAACATCACTTCTCTTTCCTCCCATGCTCACCATTATGTTCTATTCAGAGTCCCTCCATAGCCACAGTTTTGCTTTGCATGATTTCAGTTACCTGCAACCAACCATGGTTGGTTAATGAAAACATTAAATGGAAAATTCCAAAAATAAACAGTTCATAAGATTAAAATTGCATAGGGCAATGGTATCTTGTACCATCCTGCTTAGTCCTGCCTAAGATATAAATCATCTTTTTGGCCAGCAGACAGTACGGTAAGATATTTTGAGAGAAAGACTCGTTTGTGTAACCTTTTTACTCTTTTTTGGTGGGGGTAGGGGGTTGCTGTGTTCAAGCTGGCCTTGAGCTCCTTGGTTTCAAGTTTTCCTTCTCCTTAACCTCTAGAGTGGCTGTGGACATAGACATTTAGCACTGTGCCAGCTCCATGTAACTGGTTGTAATATAAGTGTCCTGTTGTGTTGTTAATGTCTTACTATGCTTAACTTATCATTTAACTTTACCCCAGGCCTGGATGTGTAGGAAACAATATAGTATATATGGAATTTGATATTATTCCAGGTTCAGGTATCCACTGGAGTCTTGGAACGCATGCCCCAGGGGCTAGAGGGGACTGTGGTGTAACACATTCTATAGTGCAGATCTATTGGACTACCTCACATGGCTCATTTGGACAACTGTGATGATTTTTTTTTTTAAGTTTAACATAAACACAACTAAGTGTTATTTAAAATGTGTCTCTAAAGTCCCCTGTATGTGAGTGCTTTTGAAGGTGATGTGATTCTACATACTCAGTGTATAAGAACAACAGCTTATTTTCTACATTCCCAACCTCAGACTCTCAGGAAGATACCTGACTTGAGTCATTCTCCTAGCTCCTGCCTCAGCTTCCCTAGTATCCCCATCCTCTCTGTGGTCTTGAAAGAGAAACTTTTCTTCCCTGCCATTGCTCTTCATGGAGCTTTACCTTGCCATCTTGTCAGGAAGGGAAAAATTTATGTATAAACCTGTGTTTACAGAGATGTTTATAAATCCCTGGAGAAGTCTTTAATTTTTACACTTAAGAAAGCTCGGAGAACCAGGGAGTGCAGAGTTAATTCAGTCACCAGTTTAAATACTGGAAATTTTTTTCAAGACTATTGAAAGGTCTGCTGTCCTGACTCAGGAGCTCTAAGTTCTTAGGTGAAACTCACTCAAGAGCTTTCTTTTCACAGACACAGCAGCCGCAGCTTGCACGGACTCTTCCCCTGTGCTGTAGAGTTGCACACGTGCACATGAAACCTAGGCGATTGCTTGGCACAGGTGCCTAGCAGGGACTCCTCATTCAGTGGCCTCACTAGTGGTGGAGCAAGAGGTCCTGCGTCACCCGAGTCCCATGCTGGACCTTGGTTCTGTCTGTGCAGTGGCAGGCAGTATCCAGTGGGAAAGGGTAGACATTCTTGTGTTATTCTTCGAGCACCATTTACTAAGAGTGTGTATGGAACCCTTCTGTCCTTCAATGTATTTAAGGGTTGACACTGTCCCTTTCTATCTAAAAAACAAACAGATTCTCTAAAGATAATAAGTGAATTTGAGTGTTACAGAGCATTGCACTGGGAATACATGTATCAAGGCAAACTGAGCATCTCCACAGAGTTGGAAGGGGACTTTGTAAAGGAAAACTGGAGAGAATTACTTGAGTAATTTTGAAGCAGTAATCCTTATCTTACAGAGATCAGTAACAAGAGTGGCACACACATGGTGGCCAGGCATCCCTGCAGTATTTTTGTATAGATTGTGGTGGCCTGGGTAAAGGTGGTGGTTCTGGCAGTCTTACAGTGATAGTACCTATCACTGGGGATACAGTCATGAGACCTTTGTAACTTCAGCGTTATTATTCTTGTCAATCAGAACTCGACATAACTGGCTCCACTTTGATTCTGACAGTATTCACATGCTGATGCCTTGGCCCAATTGTGTTTCAGACAATGGAGGGCAGACCCTGGCTGGAGGCAACAACTGGCCGCTTCGAGGAAGAAAATGGACCCTGTGGGAAGGAGGTGTCCGAGGGGTGGGCTTTGTTGCAAGCCCCTTGCTGAAGCAGAAGGGCGTGAAGAGCCAGGAGCTCATCCACATCTCTGACTGGCTGCCGACACTGGTGAAGCTGGCAGGGGGCCACACCCAAGGCACCAAGCCCCTGGATGGCTTTGACGTGTGGAGAACCATCAGGTACTGCATGTGTTGCCCTCCTCAGATAGAAACTCTAAGAACAGCTTGACATGATAGGGTGAGAATGATAGCTTTTGTGTTGAAAGTACAGTTCTGCTTACAAATAAATGATCCCCTTTGAGAAGTGAACTACCTGTAGAGATATTATAATTATATATTTTTAAAAATTTGAAATCTGAGACTGCAGGCCTGTGTTTTACATGAAGAATAAGATTGTCCTCAGCCTTCATTCTGTATAAAAGGTCTTTAAAGCTGAGACGCTCTGCTGAGAAATAGGCGTGTGTCTTGTTGGCTTTCTGCAGGGGTCAGGGTGCCTGCCTTTCTGTGTGCTGGAAGAATGGAGGACTAAGCAGGGGAATGGGCTGGAATAGGAGGCCAGAGCAGCTATGCAATCTCAGTGAATAAGTTCAGTTCCACTCATTAATAAGTGATGAATACCTACTATATGCTGGTCCCTGTCCTAAGTGCTGAGAATGAGGAATGAATAAGACAGGCAAGGGCCTGGCTCTCAAGGAGCATGTATGTATTCTAGAAGGGGGAGAAAAGTATTACGTAAGTAATCACGTAGACACACAACATGATTTCAGATGGGTATAAGAGTTGTGAAGGGATTGAAAGGGTGTGTCTGATAGAAATTGTTCGGGGAGTAGGGTTCAGCTTTGGATCTGCTACCCCCACTCCCAGTATAGTGCTGTGACACTACGGTGGGGAGGCACATGCCCTGGAGGATCCAGGCCACTCCTTAAGTACAGGGAGAAAAACTTGCACTTTGTATTTAATTTTATCTATCCTTTCTATGTTTAGAAGGTATGTAATATAGCAGTAGATAAATATGCATATCTAGCCCATGAGTAAATATACACATATTGGAGGCATTGTTTTTACTGAAGGACTGACAGATGTCCAGGGCGATGGTTTTCCACTTCTTGGTGTCATCAGCTCTGTTTGTGGGCTGATGGACGAGTCCCATGGTGGCCAGGAAGAGATGACATCTGCATGCTCCTCTTCTGTCATCCCACTCTGGGGAAGTTCCACGTTTCTTTTCATAGGAAAAACACAACAGAGTATTTAGAAGAGCCGTGATATATATATATATAAAACATACCTCCAGTAGTTAAGAAAAAATTGTGTGTGAGGGTGAGAATTCAAATGGATTCTGAGTAATAAAAGAATGTGGGTAAATGGTATAGGTGTTTTTTCACCATGTCTTATTTTGTAATGTTTTGTAAATTTGTAATTATTTCCAAATAAAAAAATTTTAAAAATAAGATCTGGCAGGACAGGGTCCACGTTTTCACAAGGCTAGCAACTGACTGGAATCACATACTTGCTCCCTTCCTTAGCTGATACATTGACCCCTTAAATCCCTGTTGCTCCCATCTCCCCACACAGGCTCCCCCTGCAGTCATTTCTGTTGTCTCTCTGGTCTGTGTAGGCATTGAAATTTGTGACCCATGCAGATGACAGTGTAGTCACTGTCCTCAACACTGTTTACACCCCATAATGGAACCAGTCCCCAACTGCTGGACACACAGAGTGTTCCTTATACTTTTACAGTCTCAGTTTTTTTGTAATATGTAATCTTGAGTGTGAAAAAGTCAGTTTGTCAAAAGGCTATTTTATGCAAGGAAGTTTGACAGCTTTTGTTATGACTTGTATCTAGATGTCTCTTCAAAGCCTCATGTGCTCATAGGTGGGCTTTTCCGGAGCTGGATGGATCATGGGTGTGTGGCACTAAATTAGTCCACCAATGGAATTAGCTTAGTTCTGGGTGGCACTACTGAAAAGGCCTGGATGGGATGAAAGGGTAAAGCTGCTTGCTGCTTTCTGCTTGCCTTGCCATGAACTGTTTCTCACCTGCAGTGCATCTCTGCCGTGCCACCCTGCCTTTACCAGCTGACTATGGACTGAAACCTTTACAAACTATAAATAAACCCTTTCTCCCTTAACTTGTGGGTATCATATATTTTATCCCAGCAGCAAGAAAAGTAACTAAGACATCTATGAAAGCTTAAACTGAAACTCTTAAATCCTATGAGTTTAGGATGGAAGAAATATTGTGACCAGGCTGCTCAGCTTCTCAGACCTTGAGTCTTAGCTTCTCTCTAATGAGGCTGTTCAGGAAGTTGAGACTCATAAAGATTTAATCTCTTCCAAACCCCTGGGAAAATCTGATCAATTAGTGTTCTAATCTTTTGTGAATCATTTCACAACTCAAAGTTCCAGATCTTCCTTGGAGACTTTCTCAAATTTTAAAGATTATTTTTTGAACAATGAAATATAAAGCATGGAGTAGCTATTTCTTCACCTTTATTTATACTAATCCTTGAATAATACTGGGGTTTGGGTTGCTGACTTCATTACTGTTAGAAATCCATATACAGTATAATTTAGAAAAAATCTATTTAATACCTTTATTAACAATTGCTTACAGTTGACATTTTGAAAATAAGGCTTTAAACTATTATTGCAAATTAAAAATGAAGTTCTTAAAATCTCAACTTGATCAGATATAAAACAATTTAAAAACTTTAAACCATATTGAGAAAAAACAGTCTTTAAAAAAAACCACACATTTGTCATGACTAAAAAGAGACATCTTCAGGTAAATATAATAAAAACCCCATGCAAATAGTTCTAGTTATCCAGTCAACAGGGAAAAAAAATGTGAGCTCTTAAAGGCTTTAGCTCTAACCTTTTGTTTGTTCCTTATCACAGGGATTTCATATTAATTTCTCCTTGTTGGATGACTAGATGCCTTGGGAGCAGACCATTGGTCATCTGGTGGACAGGTTGCTTTTACTTCTTTGTCTTCTTGTGGTTCAGGGTTATGGGGGCATCTCCAGCAGTGACTGAAGCTGCAGGGGTCCCTGTGTTGAGGGAGCTGCTGACCTTGGGTCTCATCACCTGATTTTCCGTGTTCCTTTCACTGCATCCTCTCTGGACTGTGCTAGGGAGATCCTGTGGAATCTAACCCCAGACACACCTTGTTTTCCTGTGTCCTGCTTGTTGGCACCACCCACCCCCGCCCCCCCGCAATCCTTCTTCCTGCCCAGGAGGAAGCATGCTGTGGTAGTCACGCAGGGGGCTCTGCATGGAAGGGACCATCACCTGCTGTAGGCTGGCCATCATTGCTACTCCGTAGGGGGTGCCATGCAGTCCCTTGGTCTTTCCTATTCTCTCTCCTGCTAGTTGTCCTGGTGATGGTGTGTAAGACCCTGCAGCCTTGGAGAGCATCTGTGTGGTTGCTGCCTCTACCTAGAACTCTTCCAGGGCCTGGAACATCTGCTGCCACCACTCCTGTCCTTCCTTCCATGGCATCCAGCTCCACAGTCTCCCGTGCTGCTGCAATGCAGCAGGTGTGCAGCACACCTTCCCATTGATGAGACCACATTGAGCTATATTACTGCTCCCCAAACCTCTGCGCCGTCACCTTCCTGTCCACACTAGCAGGCACAACCTATGTGAGGCTGCCTGGCCCACTGGTCCCTGTTACCCCTACTCCTGATGTCGGGCATGGTTTCTGCAGCACTGAGGATGGATGCCTGGCTGCTTCTCAGTCTCTGTTTGCTGCTTGTGGCTGCAGCGAGGTGACTGGGTCACTGCGCAGCTACAGCTCTCCTGGGGGTGTGGTGTCATCCAGGCTCACAAAAGTGGGACCAGCGAAGCTCTGAGCTTAGGGGTCTGCTCTTCTCCCACTATGGTAGAAGTCTGCATATATTTGAGTCTTTCAAAATGTTACTTACTAAGAGCTTGCTGTGGACTAGAAGCCATACCTATGACATCACTGTGGATTACCTCGAATTTTGAGTGTTATATGTAGTACGTGCTGTAGAAAGTGTGTCGAGAACCACAGGAAAGCACTTTTTACTGCAGTGAGCAAGTTACTGGAAATGATGTGGATCACAGGGTCTTGTCAGTGGGTGCTCACAACACTTGTGCAGAGCTCAGGAGGTGACTGTGCAGTACTACAGTGGGGCAGTACACAGGACACTGCGTGTTCCACAGCCATGCATCTTTACATCCTTTACATCTCTCTCAGTGGCAGATCAGATCGCACACAGCCTGTTAGTATGCAGAGGTTCTGATAAATTGTGTATATTTTATGAGAGTAAGTGGTAAAATAGACTACTGTTATCTACATATATTTTATTCATTCACGACACTTTAATTTTTTCAGTATTTCTAGTCTATGCAGTTTGTTTGCAAGATTTTTTTTTTCAAATTGTCACAGATTTTTTTTTCCAAAAAATCCCCATGTAAGTGGACCTGCACCATTCAAAGCACTGTTGTGCAAGTTTCAGCTATACTGAAATTTTTTTCCAGGTTGGAAAGGCCATACCAGTCTGAAACCGTTTTCTCATTTTCTTGCCTGAAAAGTTGATTTTTTTTTCTTCTTGGAAACAATGACCAATTTTTGATTTTCCATTTAAAGAGCACTCAGCAGCATCCAAGTCACAGGAAAGGCAGTGTCCCTGAATAGCTAGCTCCGTTGAGAAACAGAAACAAAACCTTTGCTCTTACCAGGTACTAAAACTTTATCTTCATTATTTGTTCATTCATGGTATGCCTTTTTAATTTACCTTAAATTATTCTGCTTCTTGACAGGTGTGGTGTTACATACATGCAATCCCAGCACTTGGGAGACTGAGGCAGGTAGACCACTCTGAGTTCAAGGCCCATTTGAACTACCTAGTGAGACTCTACCTCACAAAAATAAAAATAAAAATAAAAATTACTGTGTACATATACCAGCTTCTCACAATAACTAATCATTATGTGCTGCAATCATAAAAAACAAATCTGCCTCTCTTCATAACATAAGCTTGGTGTTTAATTTAAATTGAATTTTTCATTGTCAGTAATATATACTCATACCTAATTTTCAAGCTATAGAAAATAACTACCCAAATCCCATCCTGAAACAGTTACTATATAGATTTTGCTATATTTTTTTAAAAATTCTTTTCAGCATTTTTACTTCATATTTCTTCATCTAA